TTAAAAAATCTGTTTTTGACATTCTTTCTCTTCCATTTTTTCCTTTTTTTGTTTTACTTTTTTCTTTCTTTCTTTCTTTCTGCTTTTTAACTTCAAAAAAGTTCTTAAATTGTGAGTTCTTCTTTATTAATCACATCTTCAGAGGAATTTCAGTGCTTTTTAGTAATTGCCTAAACATAGATACAACCATAATCAATGGAATTTTACACGCAATCATGAAGGATAAAATGAAAGACTAATGGATTCCACAGACAACAATTAGTGGCTGCAAAAAAAATATTTCAAAACTCCTTGGGTCACTATTGATTCTAGTTTATCACAACAAAACCTAATTGTGAGTAAAATTTTATCTAAAATGGGTATGCAAATGTTGAAAATAAAATATAAAAATATAAAAATCAAAGTTGACTTTGGTGAGAAGTTTTGACCAAAGAATGTCATATTTATTCAAGTGAGATAATGGTATGTTGAAGTAAAACTTTGGGCTATTTTTATTCATCTATGATTCATTGTGCATTCCGGAATAAAAAGATCCATTGACTAGACCTATATCACTTACATTTCAAATTTTCAGTCCATAGCACCACAAATGACTTAATATTTAAGCTTCATCATTAACCAATTCTCCTTTGCAACTATTGAATATTATTTTCCAATCTGAAAAATCGTTAATCGTGAAAAAGCTCTGCATTTTGTGAGAAATTTTGTATATATATATATATATATATATATATATATTCACACACACTTACATTCATCCAATCTCAATGTTTTTTATTTTGTTTTCTATTAATTCCCATTTACAAGATAAGAAAGTGCATAATTATTTCACCTTAGGACTGTTTAAGTAGAACCTAGTTAATCCAGCAATTAAATGTTTCACAAATACATGTACTAGAATGTTTATTATCTTGATCAAAATTCAATTTGAAATCAGTATTTGTCATAAATTATTTATTTATTTATTTACTTACACAATGCTCACAGCCATCTATCATTAAATAATTTCAAGTAGTTATAGCACAAAAAAATAAAACTAACAAATGTAAGACTGTTTTCATATATATATATATATATATATATATTGAAGCAAATCAGTTCAGCTTAGTGTTATGGAATTCATGAACTGCTTAACATTTGCACAACAGATGGATGGGTTCTAGAAATGAGATGTTACTTTTGTATGCTTAAAACAAATCCACATTTTTTGGAACTTTGTTTTGTAAAACAGCATTCAAAAAATAACATCCTACTACAATGTTGTTAATTATTAAGTACAAAATTTAAAGTGGGTTTTCATTTTTATTCATGATACAATTCATGATACCATATATATATATATATGTATACACACAAACATACATGTAATGTAAATATCTTTCTAAAACAAACTTATGTAATTTGTTGCACACACAGAGCACCTCTTTCAAACCCACATGAAAAAAATTGCAGTATATTTAATAACTTATTTTCAACTTCAAGATTTTGACAACTGCGAGAATTTGAAGTTTTGAGTTAAAATGTAAAAGTCATCATAAAGAAACTCAAATGACAACAAATTAACAAAACAAAACAAAAAAAACCAATAAAAAAACAGAATTAGGGTTTTGGGGGGTGCAGGGATCACTGATAAAAGTACAAATCCTCATGAGCTTCTTTGATGGAATGGAGACATGTTGAATACATACACCGTGATTTGAAGGTCTTGCACACTTAACAAACCATCCATTCACATCATTCATATTATTTATTTGATGCACTCAATCAGCTTCAAATCATTTTGAATATATACACTCACACACAATTCAACTACATTACTTCTTCTTCTACCTCTTCTTCCTTTTATTTTATTTTATTTCATATGTGAATTTCGTGATATGACCAAGTTTTGAGCATTGGTTTAATGTAGATTACAACTAGCTTCAGTATTTCCTAGAAAAAATGGTTGGATCTGGATCAATTGGCTTAAATTGGTAGTTAACTCCCAGATCAATATGTATATAAATACATCAGTGAGTGTGTGTGTGTGTGTATATATATATATATATATATATATATATTCGATCATTTCATCTCCAAATATGGTGAACTTGAAATTTAAAGTTTGAAATATTAATTGATCTAGGTTTTGCAATTGTTTCATAAAGAGTTGATTGAAGGTTGATATTAAAACTAATACAAAGATTTTGAATATGAGGTATCCCCTTTGAAAACTAGTAGGACAATTTCATTGTTGAAGAATCATTATCAACATTTTTTTTTTGGATAAAATTAGGCCATGATTTACCCCCCCCCCCAAATTAAATCATTTTGAAAATCATATTTCATGTTTAAAAATTACATTCTAAAAGTTTTCATTGTTAATTCACCTTGTAAATAAAAACACATTCTTGTTCCACACATGCAAAAATATGGTTTCTTATGAAATAAATTAGCTCTAAGGCCATTATACCATAAAATCACACTTCACCAAATAATTTGAGTGTAGTCAACACTTAGAAAAATGACCCCAAAAGAGCACTAAGTGAAAAAACATATTTTTCTTAGAATTATTTTACGGTAACACACGAATTGTAGCCCAATCATTGGGAAAGACCCAATCAGTTCCAATTTTTCAAAAAATTGTAGAAAAATAATGTGCAATACAACATGGATATCAGTGCAAAACATCACTTTCCACTACAAAAACTCCCTAAACTGAAAAGCAAGAACGAATTCTAAATACAACCCGTCTAGTTTAGTTTTGATCGATCCATGTATCAAATTTTCCTGGTCAAAAACTTATAAACACATTTAAACACACACAAATATACACATGAAATTCATGGAGGTAGGATAAATTAGGGTTTAATCCCCACCCCCCCTCCCCTTAAGAACGGAGCATTAGAGAGGGGGGCTCCACTCGCTCATCGCAAGCGACGCCGCGCGGTGTCGTCTTTGTCGGACAGGGAGTTAGTTTGAGGGAGGAATTTGGAGGGATGCGATCTGAACGCGGCGTCGGTAGCGGCACCCTCCAGATCTGGCGCACAAGGGCCGACGATGATACTGCAGCGATGTTGCAGCAAAGCTGCTGCGACGCTTGTGTGAAGGGAAGGAATACGGGAAAAATTTGAGAAGCGAGCATCTCGTAATCCTCTTTTTGCCTGCACCGGGAATATTCACCCCGTCGTCACGCCTCGTGGCGGTTGGAAATGTGCGGGCCAGGCTGACAGATGGAAACGGGAAGAAGAGGCGAGGGCGGGCGAATCAGGTCCTGTTCGGAATGATTTGAACATTGCCGAACCCCGCGCTCCCTCGCACGCCACGGCCAGCCTAGCACCCGCCCTTCTTCGCCAAAGACGATGAAGAAAAAGACACCCACAACGGCACTCCAAACCTCCTGCTCCCTGCCCATCTCTCCTCGCTTGGGTCTCCAGGTTTTTGCCTATTTTTCAATTTTCAATCCGCCTGCGTCGCAATAGTGACGGGCCCGAACGGATATCCCCTCAATCGTCGCATGCGCTCTTAACTTAACCCCCCTCACAACCCTTACCAACTGTGTGAAATCCATTCCCTCGCTGCCTCCTGTTTCTCCGGCGGGTGGTCTCTCTTTCTTCTCTTTCTGTCTCTTGTTGTAGGAAAAGCCAGGCGCTGGCATTAAGGGGAAGAGAAAGAGAGAAAGACAGAGAGATGATTTTTCGCATTGTTGCCGTGCTAATGGAGAGAATCCTTCTTAGTGGCAGTTGCATTGTGTTTTGTTAATGTTGGTGATGGATTTGATTCTTGGTTAATTTCCAGTTGCTAGGCAGTTCGAAGAGTTGCTCGCTCTGAACATCGGGGGAGCTTTCCCGGTTCTAGTCGCGATTGATTGTTCTGGAGCAGTGTGGGTTGTGTCACGGTACTGGGAAGTGAGGGATTAACTTTCATGCGAGACTTCGACCAGCAGGATACTTTGCGTGTCTAGCGCCAGGCCGCGGGTGGTGGTGAATCGAGGGGTGGTGTTAGTGTCGTTGGCAGTGGCTCGTCCGCATTGCTCGTGTTTTCGAGATACAGGGCGGTCGAGTGGGACAAATTGGTTTGCTTCATTCTGCTAGTTTTGGTCGGATGAGAAATGTGGTACAAGTAGTTAGATACTGCGGTTGCAGGTCAGAGTCTGTAGTGGCACTTGAGAGCGTGCCTTGTGTACGAGGCCTGTGTAGAATTGGATGTTCTTGAGTGCGCCGCCGTCGAATTTGTCTGCATATGTTGTGGTGGTTCTGAGTGTTCACAGTTTTGGGCTTGTTATTTCAGAAGACTCGAAGCATGTGCCGCTGATATTTTAATTTGGGCTGATAGTCAGAGAGCAAGTTTTGCTCCTACACGAATGTGATAGACGGAGTTAGAATATCGTCTGTTGAACTCAAGTGAATATTTTCTGCGATCAACGAAATTAGGTGGTATAGTGGATTCTGCGTAAGATATTGTCTATATGTAGCATCTTGAAGTGAGGCTGCAAGCCAAGTTCGTAATGTGTGCGGTGCTGTAGCCTCTTTCTGTTTATTAACCTATCCGGCGCTCGACAGCATTGGGATTGAGAATGACGGGTGTAGTTGATAGTTCCAGGCGCTCTCGCCTCTTGTCTTCCAGTACTCTATCGGGGTCAACTCCCGATGAAGTGAGGCAAACGAGGGCAGCCGCTAAACGGTCGGCTATGGAGGATAATCCCGTCAAACTTGGAACTAACGCAGCGCATCCCAAAAAACGGTCTGGCATGCAGCCAGTCAGAAAACGTCCTGCTCTCTCAAATATATCCAACCAGCAGAATGGTGCCCCATTTGACCGCACTGTCCCTGGGATTCCTTGTATGAAGCCCGTGGATTTGAAGTCATCAGTGACTGCCCGAGGAAATGATAATATGTGCTCTGGAAACCACGCACAAATGTGCGCTATATCCAAGCAGGAGGACGCCATAGCGGATTGTGAATCTGAGTCTGCTCCAAGAACTAACTCAGAAGCGATTGCCTCTTTGGAAAGACGAACAATTCAAAACCTCTACATATCTCAAGAGGCAAAGGATCGGGTGAAACAAGGTACCAGTTACAGGGGAATCTCGCCCGTCACAATGCACCTGCACACCACTAGCAACGGATCATTCCATTCTTTACCCTTGATGTTTCCACGCTTCATTTCAAAGTGGAACTATTAACATGGTGCATCATTGTCAAGCAGGAGACTTATTCGGCGACAAGAACTGTCTACAACAATCAGAATGGTCGAGAGGGGCATTGAGGTATACAGATATTGACAATGATCATTTCGAACCTCAAATGTGCACTACGTATGCCGCAGATATTTATGAACATCTTCGTGTGGCTGAGGTGAGTCTTTGGACCTTCGTCTCCCCCATAGCTACTTTACCCTAGAGTCTTCTTAGAACGCGACAATGAAGGAAGAAAAAAAGAAAAAAAGAAGCAAAGAACCAGGGACCATACTCTTCGGAGAGCAGTTGGAATGAACAGCCCCGGTGTTGTGTATGCAGGTCAAGAGACGGCCCAAAGCAGATTTCATGGAGTCAATGCAACAGGACATTAATCCGACAATGCGAGGAATTCTCGTGGACTGGCTTGTGGAGGTAATGTTGTTCAGCATAGTTTTGTAGCACATGTTTACCGTGTTCGACGAAGTTCCTGATTGTTTCAAAACATTTTGTTGAACAGTGTTCTATTTCCGCAGGTTGCCGAGGAATACAAACTATTTCCTGACACATTGTACTTGGCCGTCTCTTTCATTGATCGATACCTTTCTGCCCATGTGGTTACCCGACAACGGCTTCAGCTGTTGGGTGTTGCTTGCATGCTCATCGCTGCGTGAGTGATCGTTTCCCTTCCTGTTTCCGTTGATGATATCTAGATTATTCCAGTATAGTTAGGCTGTACTGTTCTCGATTATTTCATAGTATGCTGAGTGTCTACTTTTCCTGTTTCAGAAAATACGAAGAAATATGCACTCCCCAAGTTGAGGAGTTTTGTAACATTACAGATAATACCTACTGCCGTGAAGAGGTAAGATGCGTGAATTCTTTATTCCAGTATGTGATTGAATCTAGTGATCTTGATGGGGGTTGTGTACTGAAGATTCATTGTCCGATGCCCACACGTCCAGGTATTGGAAATGGAGAGGGAAGTTTTGAATGTCTTGAAGTTCGAGCTCACAACTCCGACAACGTTAACCTTTTTAAGACGGTTCACCCGAGCGGCTCAAACAAGTTACAAGGCTCCCACTCTGTCTCTGGAGTTTTTAGGGAGTTATCTTGCTGAACTGACTCTTCTGGAGTACGAGTTCTTGCCGTTTCTTCCGTCCATGATAGCCGCATCCTCTGTGTACCTAGCCAAGATAACTCTCGATTCATCAACGTGTCCGTGGGATGCCACATTGCAACATTATACGGGTTATAGACCATCCGAACTGGAGCATTGTGTGAAAGCTATTCATGAATTACAGCTAAACACGAAGAGCTGCTCACTTCCTGCTGTTCGAGAGAAGTACAGGCAGCACAAGGTAAGCCCGCTCTGTGGTCAACGAGATCATTTGAAGTTGTGGAAATTAAGTCATTTGAAGCTGATACAAATCGTCGCATTCTGCAAGGGATTTGGCTATCCTGTTTATCAATACCTTGACATTGCAGCCTCACTGTTTGCTTCTCCTGCAGTTTAAGTGCGTGGCAACCTTCGCACCACCAGCTGTTCTTCCGCACGATTACTTCGCACAACTTGACCATAATCCAGTGAAGCCTCGATTCTGAACAGCTTGAAGCCCGATGGAATTAGATGGAGTATAAACTTGATATTCAGCATAGATAACCAAAAAGCGAAAAAATAATATTCTGGATTCTGCAGAGGCCTTGATGAGTGGGTATCAGCTACATCTGTCTGGAGTAAGCGCCCTGGAAAGTGCCATCATAAGCTCCAGCCTTCGTCGTCATAAGGCTTGTCAAAAGAAATTCATATTCTCCGAAGCCTTCGTAAGTTATCGTGGTCGTTAAGGCCGTTTGAGATGAATGTCTGTCAGGTGCGTGCTCGCTGTACATACGACATGACAGATCATCTCCGATCCGGACCAATGGATATTGCTATCGCAGATGAGGACATTCAGTGTAGTCATGTGCATTGAGCTACTCGTGCCGCACCTCAGGATGTTCACACATAGCATTACATAGGGCACTACATGAAATAGAAAAGGTCTTGTTGTAATCACAGTTAAACTCTACCACCTGCATTTTAGATAATTTATCAAGTCAGAATTATCTATTTTCATCTGTTCGTAAATGTCTCTAGAGTTAGGTGGCTTGAGCAGCAGGTTCTTGCATACAGGCCCCTTTTTGCAGGGTAAAAAATTGCTAATGGAATTTTATCTCCATGAGTGCGAGTACTCTCAAACCATTGTGGCATTCAAGCCAGTCAGCCAAATCTGAATGTCTGACAACCTTTCGAAGGATAGTTAATTTGCCCCTGTGCTCTCGACTCGTGGGGCTCGTTCAATGGCTAACAGGCGCAGTACAAAATCGTTCACATTATGAATGAAAGTCTTCCAAATCTTGTTGTTATTAAGAAAATGAAACAATGCATATTCTGAGGGGTCCCTTCCCAAGCTGATATTCATCTGACTGAGACCTCCGTTACCGAGTTACTCAACCCAAGAGCGACCTTTTCTAGTTCTTTGCCTGTAAAACTCAATAGCTAGATTTAATGTGGATGATTACAGACAGTACAAGTGGAAACGAAACGGAAGGAAACGCGACAGAAAAGCGGGCGAAATCAGGGCCAGAACCCGTCGCCTCGGGACATTAAAGTGGCTTCACAATACTTTTGGGCCATTCTCGTCATTATTAAGTAAGAAATTAACTCTCCCGTACAGGCAGATTGTGCCTTCCCTTCCCCTCACTTTCTTCCACAGCAACTTGTCAGTGCATTTGAACTATGTTTCGCAACCAGATTATGGCTTGTGAAGGAACGCACTGCAACTGTGCAGATCGAACCTTGTACCGTTCCGATGTAGGAGGAGTCATGTGTGAGACAATACTGGGGATTCAGCTCAAAACTGGTAAACAGAAACATTTGGTTCCAGACAGCATTGCCCTCGCCGTCGGACCAGCTCCCACGTGTAGCTTGGCCCACTCCAGCTGCCACTTTTAGTGCGCTTCCAAAACCTTGACCAGGTGCGAGTCAGCCTTTGCCGGCCTCTCATTTGCACGTCGTATTGGATTCAGCCGATCAGTGGATCACTAATTTCGCACAAATATCACACACAAACTGTCGGCGGGGTATCCAGGAAGCCTCGAATACGTCTTCGCCATGTGAACCACTGAGAAGTCAGTCTTTGCCAGAGGATCAGTCTTCGTGACAATGCTCGGTTTCTGCATCCCCTCTACCGAAAATGGCGTAAGCCCAATCTTTCGTATGAGAATCTACACTCATCCCATTATCCATTTCTGTCAGGATCTATTATGGGCTCCTAGAGATCCATAGAAATGCTTGCTCGTGGTTGATGGTTGGCAGCGGAAGGCAAAAGAGGAGCGACCCAAGAGGCGGAATGCATCATGAGATGCTCCACGCCTGTGATTTACAGAGGTCCGCACTGGTTCAAGGTCCAAACCGAAATTCGAACTCAGAGGGAGGGTGACACTGAGTGCGCAGACTGTTTTCCTGTGCCCCACTTTCAAATGCATCGCCAGCGTTTTCCAAGGTGTGTCCTTTCAGTCAAATTGCCAATGCAAATGGGTGCCAGCTAAAACCATGAAGCAGAAGCAGCACGTCGGAGATTTGGAATTCGCCACAAAGACAACGAGGTGGCTGAGTTAGGAAGACACCGACTCATCTTCTACGCTGTTCATACAGACGTCTTCGTCGCTGTGCAAGTTGAAATTTTTTTGTGATTTTTTCCACATTTTCAACACCACCAACAAGTTTTCTACGACGATTTCATCTTCGTCTTCATCATCATCATCATCATCACTGCCTTACCTTAAGCGTGGTGAGTCTCATCGCATCCTCTTGATTGTGTATCATGGGTACTTGATAAGGAGTGGCCACTGCATATTTCAGATACGTCGATTTGTATTCATACCTTGTGTACCAGCAATGACGAATCCATAGTTTTGTTGTTGTTGTTGTTGTAATGTTATATAAATAAATAGATAAATAAATAAGGACGGATTTCAACAAACACGGATCATAAATGAGCACAACTATATTTTCACTTTGCAACTAGAATATTAATGTTTACAGGTAGTGACTTCAAAATAAGAATTTATATGGAGTTTTTCAAAGATATTTCCAAAATGTAAAATCAATTAAAAATTAATATATATATTATTTTAAAATAAAAAATAATCATTTTTTTTTATGTATCAAATATATTTATGATATTTTTTTTCATAGCCCTTGTAAGTCATATCTTGAGGTGGCATTCAAGTTAAGACAAGTTAGTCATAAGAAAAATATTTTAGAATTCAGGTGATGAATGATTATATTTAATGTTTATTTAATTATCAAATTTAAGTAAGTTAATTTTTTTTTTTTAGTATACATAAGATTTTATATTTTATATTATAATCTTAAAATTTAGTAAGATATTTTAGAAAAGATTTTGTTTTGTAAGTGGTATATGCCATGTATTAATTAGTAAAAATAAATTCTTAAAATAGATGCAATAAAAGATGTATTTTGATTTTTTTTTATCTAAATAAAAAAATCAAGAAGAAATTTAGAAAGTATAATTTTTTTTATTTGATTATTTTATTTTAATAGTTATAGGCTAAGTAAATATATAAATCTATAGATATATAGATGGACTGCTCTAAAAGAACACAAATTTTAATAACAAAATCCAATGGAAGGTTGTCTAATAAACTATTTTTTATTAAAAGAATACGTTTCTATAGAGCTTTATTATATTATGTATTGTCTTGCTTGAGAATGCACGAGATATTTAACTATGGAGGATAAACTTGTATTTTGCTGTAAACAAAGAATCTAACAACTATGATAAATTTCTAAAAAAATTCCAATTAAATCTTAACAAAAATACTTAAAGCTTATTTAAATCTTACAAAAAGTATAAAAAAATCCTAATAAAATTCTAAATAAATCTACACAAAATTTTATAATAGTTTTAAAGCTGTAATAATTATTAAATAATCCATTGATCTTTCTTAAAACTTTATAAATATTTCAATCTATAAATTAATAATAAAGACATAAAATTTAAGGTATTTTAAATATACCAACTAAGATAAAAAGCTCTTAAGTTTTTTGGCTATTGGCTATCTTTTTTCTCCAATCTTAATATCAATCTACCAACTATAATATCTACTTATTGAAATATTTTTTATATTCAATATTTGCAAAAATATTATAATTTAAGTTTTTTTATTTTTACTTTTTTAGATAGTGTTTTAATTTGATCAAAAAATTTCTTAAGATCAAAGAAACTCTCATTAACCTTTGAAATCTAAATATTGAGATCCTAATCCAATTGAGTTTCAATAACCTTTGATCCAATCATTCCATTGAACTCAAATTTATAAAACAAATTAATAACAAGAAGATTCACAATTTTACAAAATTTTACCTCGAAATGCCCTATAATGCTCGCAATATTTTCAACAATATAAACTCTTTTTATTTTTTAAAATCTCAAATCAATTAAAATAACTTTGAATTTGCAATACTCTTATAAAGAGAATATTAATCTAAATCACTTCAAACTAATGCTTTAACAATCCTTATTAAATTTTTTCTATGATTTTATTCTCAAATCAACAAAAAAATCTAACAATTTATACAGTTTATGTCTTGGGACTTAATTACAACTTTGGTCTACAACTAATCTTCTTAGAGTATTAATATTTAGTTTTTTATATATAATTTTTAATAAAATTTATTATTTATTTTTATCTAAAGATATCCATGATATTAATTTTATTAATCTAACTTATTTTATCTTATTCATGAGACTACAAAATAAGTAAAAGTCTTTTTTATAAAAAAAAACAACCTTAGTACATATTACAAAAATTTTACAAGAAGATTTTATAAATATTCTATAAATATTCTATTAGGTTCTAAAAGATTCTAAAATATTTTAAAAAGATTTTAAAAAGTTTTAAAAATATTCTAATAGGTTCTAAAAAATTCTAGGAAGATTTAAGGAAGTTATTTAAGAAGCTTCCTTAGATCGCTTCATCTTCAAGCAACATGAGAACTTCTCAAGGAGCTTTCTAAAATTGCTTCATCTTCAAGCTACATGAAAACTTCTTAAGAAGCTTCCTAATACCTAATATGTATATTGGACTTAAAATTGAGGGAATCTTCAATCTCAATAATATATCTTTTGGAGTTATAATTGACATGTCTTCATGTTGATCTTATACTCATCTCATTTAATCAAGTTCTTGTTAGCTTTCTTGTTAAAATTCTTATCTTCAACTTCTTGTTTGGTCTCTTCTATAGTGTATTTGTGACATTTTTTCAAGACTGTCTTCTTATTAATATTAAAGCTTGATCCTTCTTGATAGAAAGTAGATTATCTCTCTTCTTAAAGGCATCTAAGAACTTTAGAGGTTGTAAAGTATCCTCTTCTAAATTTATTTTATTTTAGATTTTTTATTTTATTTTATTTTATTTTATTTTTTAAAATAGTTGAAAGTAAAGATGTTAGTATGATTGAGTCTCCTAAGTTGAAGTTAGATATTATTATGAATACACTAAATGCATTAGCTCTTGAAATTGCTAAAATTGAGGAATTTTTTGCAAGATTTTATAGTGATGTAAGATCTATAGTAGGTCAGCCTATGATATGCTTACTTTCTTAAAGTTTTATATCCAAGGAGGCAGTGGCTCTTATATCTCAATAAAAAATATTTATACATTGAATAATATAAAGAATTTTGGATTAGTCTATTAAAAAAGTTTGATAGCATATACTTGAAGTTTGGACGATTTATTATCTAAATTTAATTGTTAATTTTTTTATAATTTGAGTGCTATCCAACAAAAGAGTCATATATTGGTTTGGTTGAAATCTTGCTCATAGAATAAGTCTTATCTTGATTTATTCCTTTATTTGAGAAAAAATCTTTAAACTTGAGCAACTTTGAAGCTTTTTTAGAAGCATTTGTGGAGGCATTTGGAGAATATGACAAGGTTCAATGGATGACATCAAAGATTCACTTATTATGTGAAAGATCATGCTCTACTTTGGTTTATACATTTGATTTTAGGTAATTGGCTTGTGATATCAATTGGGATGAATAAATTCTTATGAATCAATTTTATTGGAGATTAAAGGATGATATAAAAGACTATAATGGACATATATATTTATTCTAATATTTACTTATATTATTAAATAGAAATAAATAAAAATAAATTTATTTTATAATATTTTCTAAAAAAACTTCTTAGAAGCTTCATAGATGTTGTTTTGACTTTATATGTGTTTGTAGTTGATTGATAGGTTAGAAACTTAGTCAATAAGTTAAC